GGGCGATATAGCTAAAAAATTTATCAACGATATAATGTTTCATATCGTTCGGTATCGATAATTATTGACATTTTTTATAACCTTTTTTAAAACAAAGAGCAATAGAATTTTTTTTTTTTACATTTAACCACTGTATTTTTAAATTAACTGAATTTATTGAGACAAACAACAAATATTTTTTTGTTTTAACAGTGAAAAACTAAATTAAAATTAAACAAATATCTAATTTCTAATGTTTTAAATGCAGATTAAATAGGTCTCAATGAATCTTTTGGCTTGTCTCCCGAGGCCACAGGAGGGCGCAATGAGCAAAATAATGCAGCACATTGCTCCACTGATGACGCTCCCTGATGCACATCTAACATTGGATTGTACTATTTTTGCATTCAAATGCAAATGTTTATTTTAAATTCGACTAATATTCATTCTTTACTCACAGTCTCATCACAGGCAGGCACGGCACTCTTGTTTGTGTTTGTGTGTGCTGTCTGCGTCTCTCATAGCACCTGCCTAGAAAATTTTTTATATCGTTATCGAAGAAGGTGTACCGTCGATAAATATCGATACCGTTTTATCACCCAGGCCTACTCTGAATAAATGTTTTTTCTTACATATTCTCAGTCTGAGTATATCATACTGTAGGACCCAAAAGCCTGATGTATCAAATATGACACAAAACGCAAAATACATATGCAAGATTTTATTTTGTCTAAAGTTTCGATTTTAAAAAATGGCTATTATTTCATATGTCAGGCTTTATACGGTAAAGGACCCTGATATGCATTCTTGGTCTCATTTAGCATAATTTATGTGTACACGGAATCAAAATGTGTAATGATTTGGTTAAGTAATAAATGTTTTTTCTTACATATTCTCAGTCTGAGTATATCATACTGTAGGACCCAAAAGCCTGATGTATCAAATATGACACAAAACGCAAAATACATATGCAAGATTTTATTTTGTCTAAAGTTTCGATTTTAAAAAATGGCTATTATTTCATATGTCAGGCTTTATACGGTAAAGGACCCTGATATGCATTCTTGGTCTCATTTAGCATAATTTATGTGTACACGGAATCAAAATGTGTAATGATTTGGTTAATGTTATCCAGCCATAGATTTAGGTAAAGTCTTGGCAGCACACTAGTAAACTTTGTGAGAATGCCATATCATGTTGCATTTATGGCTTAAAGGGATAGTTCACCCAAAAAAGAAAATTCTGTCATAATTTACTCAACTCTCTCATTCCAAACCTGTATGAGATTCCAAACAGTTGATGGTAGCCGTTGACTTCCATAGTATTTTTTTTTTCCCATACTATGGAAATCAATGAGGACCAGCAGCTGTTTGGTTACCAGTATTCTTCGAAATAACTTATTTTGTGTTCAGCAGAAGAAAGAAACTCATACAGGTTTGGAACAACATGAGGTGAGAAAATAAAAAACAGAATTTTCATTTTGGGGTGAGCTGTCCCTTTAAGGAAGTGTGATTTTGGCCATGTACTTCATGCAGTAAGTTGTCGTCTTTAGGGCTGAGGGTGAGACCTGTGTGGAGTTTAAGGCCATGCTGATCGCTGTGGGGATCCACCTCCTCCTGCTCACTTTCGAGGTGCTGGTGTGTGACCGTGTGCAGCGGGGTTCACACTTCTGGCTTCTGGTCTTCATGCCGCTCTTCTTCGTCTCACCCGTCTCAGTGGCGGCGTGCGTGTGGGGATTCAGGCACGACCGATCGCTTGAGGTATCAGCCGGGATTTACCAGCACAGAGGAAGATTTTTCTGTAACACACAACCATTCTGAGTGCGGTTGACGTCGACCAAATTATGTTGAGGTTATATTTCATGCCAAAATAAAAATAAGAAATTATATCTTATGCATAGAAAACATTTAAAACGCATAAAAACGTACATTAGTTTCATGACAATTTAGTTATTCCCATTTGTCGCGGTTGTTTTCATTGCTATAGTATTCCACATTTTTAATCTGTTGCTATTACTAAATACTGTACAGTTTTAACTGGATTATGGGTCAAAGACGAGATGTCACATTTTGGCGTCTGCATCAAATTAAATTTACAGTGATTGTATAGACATAGAAAGCATATTAAACACGAGTTAAGCATCTACTTTAATGTTTCAAATAACATTTGTGAAAATAAAATGTCAAAATATGGGTGAAATAATCATTCAGTTTAACAGATATATTTATGTAAAAATGAAACACTTATTCTGACCTATACTTAGTCAAATATATAAAAGAATAAATGATCCTGCTAAATTTTATTATATTTTATGCTGACAAACGGGTAAAATCTAGTGCTTTGAAGGATAGTAGCAAAGACTAGTAAAGATTTAAAATGACAATTAATTAGTATTTTAGGAGCTGCACTGTGATCTTTAAATATAATGATTCTGGTTCTAAATAAGACAAAATATTTTTTGGTATATAAACTATTGTTACACTGAATGGCATTATAGTGGATGTCTTCTGTAAATCATGGTAAAAATGCATAATATTTTTTGCTCAGAAAAAAAAAATTCAACAGGACACATTTTAATGTATGGAAAAAGAAAACGAAATTTAAACCTGTATTAAACTTTTTGTTTTGATGCTTGAAAACCTCTTTTATTTCCTGACATTTTATATAAAATGGTTTATGTAAAACAAAACAAAAATGATTTTATTATTTTGTATTATGGTAAAGAAAAAAGATAAAATATTGTAAAAATTTTTTTACAAATCTTGCTCCTAAAACAGGCTCCATTTCCTTTATAAACAATGATTTCTTATTTCTTTCTTCGTTTTAAAAAAAATTTTTTTTTATATATGACCTACAGTGACATTCACCCACATGATACCAAGCATATCTCCCTAAGCATGTCGATCTTTGTGTTTACAGAAATGAATCATACCTGATTGAACACTCTTACTTTGTGTTGTTTCATCAGCTGGAGATTCTGTGCTCTGTTAATATTCTTCAGTTCATCTTCATCGCTTTGAGACTGGATAAGATCATCAGCTGGCCGTGGTTGGTAAGGACGCCAACTACACTAACTTGCCTTTGCCAAATCATCAGTCACCTGCAGTTAGGCTATTATTAGCTTTGTAATCTGAGCTCTGTGGCTTGTTATGAGAGTAAGAGCAGTGTCTTTTCCAGGTGGTGTGCGTGCCGCTGTGGATTCTCATGTCCTTCTTGTGTCTGGTGGTGCTCTATTACATTGTCTGGTCTGTGCTCTTCCTGCGGTCCATGGATGTCATTGCCGAGCAGCGGCGCACACACATCACCATGGCAATCAGCTGGATGACCATAGTGGTGCCCCTGCTTACCTTTGAGGTTTGATTCCAACATCGTTCAGTTTTTACTTGTGTTTATGCATTAAGTAAGCTAAGGACACTGAGCATGTCTTGAGTAGAGATCAGCCGATACTGATTGTTTCAAACCAGTCTAAATACAGATTACCTTCATGTTTGTGTCCTTTACTCAATATACAGAACCAGTTTTTAATAACCGTTTTATTCATGCTTTTTTGCACATTAGTAACCAAATCATTATATACATTTAATTCAAAACATTGGGGTCGGTAGGATTTTTTTCCATTTTGAAAGAAATCTCTTCTGCTCACCAAGGTGGAATTTATTTAATTAAAAAATACAGTAAAAACAGTAATATTGTGAAAAATTATTACGGTTTAAAGTAACTGTTTTCTATTTGTATATATTTTAAATTGTAATTTATTCCTGTGATGCAAAGCTGAATTTTCAGCATCATTACTCCAGTCTTCAGTGTCACATGATCTTCAGAAATCATTCTAATATGTGACCCTGGAGCACAAAACCAGTCTTAAAGGGATAGTTCACCCAAAAATGAAAATGTGATGTTTATCTGCTTACCCCCAGGGCGTCCAAGATGTAGGTGACTTTGTTTCTTCAGTAGAAAACGATCCCTTTAAGTCGTGGGGTATATTTGTAGCAATAAGCCAAAAATACATTGTATGGGTCAAAATGATTGATTTTTCTTTTATGCCAAAAATCATTCAAATAGTTGTATCTCGGCCAAATATTGTCCTATCCTAACAAACTTGTTTATTCAGCTTTCAGATGATGTATAAATCTCAATTTCGAATTGAAAATGAAAGCAGTTGTGCTGCTTATTTTTGTGGAAACCGTGACACATTGATAAGAATTCTTTGATGAATAGAAAATTCAAAAGAACAGCATTTAGTTAAACTACAAATCTTTTGTTACATTCTAAATGGCTTTACTGTCACTTTTGATCAATTTAATGCATGCTTAATGAATGTATTAATTTCTTTAAAAAAAATCTTATTGAAGCCAATTGTAGATCACAAAACTATGCATAACTATAAAGGTCCATGTTAAACTAAAATATTTAGGTTTAAAGTTTATACGACTGTATGGAGCCCACTGGTTCTCTCATACATTCTAAAAAATAAAACTGAAATGTATCGCCATAATCACAGTCCATCTGATCAGAACTATTATGAAAAATGTTTTACTTAGTTTTGATTACATGACAGCTGCTAGTAACTTATGACTAACTGACCATGAGCAAAGTGTCTGCCGTAGGGACAGTATGTCAAACTTTGAAATATCACAAAGCAGAAAAAATGACAAACCATCTTTAGGCAAAATTAGATTTCAAATTCATTTTAGATTTCAGATTCAAAATTTGCAGTAATGTTTTGTATAAATTAAATGACCTGTTAATGTCTAAAATGGCATTTTTATACCATATAACAATCTCCGTCTTGTGTGCAGCAGGAGCAGCAGCTCCACTTCACTAAATGTATTTCCATTATTTGAATATGGTTATAACACGCCCGACACAGAGATTGAGAATGCTGTGTCTGCGCTAAAGTCACCAGTTTGGCTGCCCTGTGAAGTACAAAAATAACCTGTGGGCAGTTGACAAGACTTAGACTACCAAGATTGTCGCTTCTCGAGATATTCATCAGGTAGCATCTCATTAGAATGCATGCCTTGACACACTAATGGTCTCTACGATCTCCATAGGTTTATGATGCTTTTGGGAAACACCACCCAGAGCAGCTACTGAGATCACAAATAAATGTCAAGTTTGAAATGAATAGGGAACTGTATCTTTATTATGCTATCCTGTAATTTATCAACAAAAAACTCATTTGGCTCCTAAATGTTTTAGTTTTGCTGGCAGTGATTCCAGCTGTTATCTGGAGCGTTGCAGAGTTTTGACAGCAATCTGTCATATTTTTTCAGGACGTGTTTTGAAACTTTCAGAATTTGTGTTGTGTTTTAGAAAACTTTATTCTGAGAAATTACAGTTTGCCTTTTTCTGAAAAAAAAAAAATGAATGGGAAACCTACTTCTGGAACCAATTCAACCACCTGTTTAATGCTTAATTATTTTTGAGTAAACTCACAGCTATGAAGTAGTTCCAGATCTATCAGCCACATTACTGTTCCAGTTCTCTTCATCAAAATATTTTAGTTGAATATACTCATATGCAATGTATCAGTTTACCGGATATTAAAGGAATAGTTCCCCCAATAGTTTACTCAATAGTAGTGTTTTGTTTATAATTGATTAAAGGGGTCATATGATGCGATTTCATTTTTTCCTTTCTCTTTAGAGTGTTACAAGCTCTTGGTGCATAAAGAAGATCTGTAAAGTTGCAAAGACTAAAGTCTCAAATCCAAAGAGATATTCTTTATAAAAGTTAAGAGTTAGCCACACCTACCTAAAACGGCTCGTTCGAACACGCCCCCACATACCTACCTCACTATGTGGGAAGATTTGCATAAAGCCGCCCAAATGTTCACGCAAAGAAAGAAAGCATAACTTTTATTCTCGCTGTAGTATTGTTGACACTGCAGCCATGTCGTGAAGACGCTGTGTGCTTCGTTGTGAAAGCGAAACCACTTTGTTTGGTCTTCCAAAAGAGGACGATATCCGCTTCGTCATACCTGGAGCTGATCTGTGCTGGTCGCTGAGGAAATACATCAACTTAGTGCTGTGGATCGCCGGATCGGCTTTCACCGCTCCTTCGCCGGGACCGCCGTTCTCGACCCCGCCGCCTCAGCTCACTCTTGCCCGGCCTCACCTCACGCTAAGCCGGGGCTTTCGCTCACGCTAGGCCGCTGTGTTTTTCGTTGTGAAAGCAAAACTACTTTGTTTGGCCTTCCAAAAGAGAACGATATCCGCTTCGT